CCCCAAAACCCCAAAACCCCAAAACCCCTGGGGAGAGCAGATTGGTTGAAATTTGTGGGATGGGTGATTTTAGGAGTTTTAGAGTTGTTTAGACTGGTTTTTGTTGGATATTTTGGATAAGAAGTCATTCTTTTTTGTTTTTGATGAGATATTCATAATGCTCTTTTTGGACTAAATTAATAATACTTTGAGGCATACTAGTATATCTCTGTTTTTCTTGAGATTCTTAGCTCTGAGGGTCTGGTTTTTGTGCTCATTTTGATTGATCTCTACACTATATCTACAAAAAGGTAAATTAAATATCTTTATCTGCAAAACATCGACAGTATCCCACCTTCTAAACACAAAATGTAACTCTAAAAAAGGTAAGAACACCATTCAAAGCCATCTCCCCTCACCCAATACCTCTACCCAAAGCCTACCTATGCTTTCTCTCCACACTTCTCATCCTCACCCCAATTCCTTCCTTCCCAGTACTCATCCTCCTTACTTCCTTCTGCTTAATCCTAATCTGTTCTCTCTTCTGCTCCATCCGTGTTCTTAATCTGTAATCTTGTTGGCTTCTTCTGCGCCTATTCTGCACTAAAAACTCTAAATTACCTTTTAAAGGCAGAAACCTGGGGCTTTTCCACTCTGTGAGTGGAACTCACAGATGGGTGAACACCTCGTTTGGAGTTAAAAGTGTTGATTCGAGTTTGATTACGACTAGGGCCTTTTACAGAAGAATGTCTTTTCCAAAACCGTCTTCGGTGAGTTTTCTTCTTGAGATTTTCAAGTTGAGCACCAGAGATCTATGGGGTTTAAGTGGTGTTGGGAAAGATGGTGCTTGGGGAGGAAGGGGGAATTTTTGGGATTGAAGGACTGAAGAGCTGAAAGAAGGGGGGATATTGCTGGAAGAGGGTTGGCGATTGGAATGTGAAAAGAAGTGATAAAATTATTTAAAATTTATCATGAAAGCATTAAAAATAGTTATATAACTCAGTGAATATTCTAACTATGTTTAAGGAGAAATAAACTCAAAATATCACATCTAACTCATCATCAATGCCACTATTTTCAAGCATATTACACCTCTCCAACCCATTAAATCATCATCTAAGACCCATCTTTACTCCATACCTGAATAACCTTGCCTATCCTCTTCACTTCAGCCATCCTACTATTCACCTTGGGTACATTAAGTACATCCAAACTAGCCTTAGTTCTCCAAATCCGCCTCTTACGCCTAAAACATTAGTTAAACCCTAAAGCCATATGTTTATCCTTTCAATAAACCAGGAATCATCATAAGCCAAAAATGCTCAAATAATACTGCTAAACTGGGCCAGAGCCCAGTTTAAGCGATCAGAAGAATATTTGAAGGCGAGTATTACTTTCTGGTCAAATCAGCCTCTAACAAAGCATATCACTTGAAACAACCGAGATTTGTATGATCGCAATGGGCAGAGGAGTATTTTGAAAGAAAACTCATCAAAGCTTGAGAAGCTGTCTTGTTAGTAAAGTCGCTTTGAACACTATTTTGTCTCTGGATATCTATAAGAAGTTAAATTTTAGTCGGCAATTCACCATAGGAATTATTGGAAGCACTTTACCTCGACAGCTAAAAGTATTAGGTGAGCCTTTGTCATTCTTGAATGAAATTTTCTTCAAATATTTAGGTATTTCCCTATGTGATAATTCACAGAAGTACTTAAAATTCAAATACTCAGCCTTCTTTATCGCAAGCTGGAGTATATCCCTGTCCATTTTCTCTCTTTCCCGTTTGGCGGGTATCAATCCAGAAAATATTGATGAAGCTTGCTTTAAACTAATCATTTTATTCAATGCATCTCTTCTTGTTGACATTATATCTTTTAAATTCCGTGTTTGCTTTTTATTTAAGCTGTCTAAAGCTTAACAGAGAGAATACCGTGTGTTCTGGGGAATTCTTCTTTCCTCATCTAGATATTATTTTGATTAAAATTGTTAAGGAATTACCTAAAATGATCATGAAGCCACGATATTCTTTATGGAATTTGCCACAAAAGCAACAGTTTCAAGACCTTCTTCTTAGATGATTCTTAATGTTCCTTCTAGAAATTCTATCGATATCGTTATTTAAACCCCTGCTGGACATTGTTTAGATAACTAAATTCTTTGCATTCAGAACCATTAGTAATATAAACATCTGGAGTGCAAGATTTGGATAAGAATTTTCCGATAGATTTTCGGTTAAATTTAGACCAATCATGATCATGAATAAAGCTCATTTTCTTTTGCATCAGAGCTCGCCTTCTCTTCTGGACCTCTAAAAATGATTACTAGGAATACCAATAGAGAGATCTGACTTAGAAGATTTACTTGCTTTATCACTATGCCCTCTGAGATTTATGATTTCCTCAAAAGTCATCTTATTTTATTCCATAACTAGCTCTGAGAGATTTTTGCCCTTCAATCTGATCCATTCGAGATTTTAAGGCAGGAACATCTCTATAAAATTATTAGTAAATACTTACTGTGAGCTATCTCTGTTGTTCAATTTGAAATTCACCTATAATCTAGACATTCTCATACATGCAAGCGTTTGTTGTTAAAGCCTTCCATTAATATTTATTGGAATTATTCAACAAGTATTGAATATGAAGGGGTTTTGGGGTTTTGGGGTTTTGGGGTTTTGGGG